AATTTAAAAAATTATTTTATACTGGTTTGCTTATAAATTTCATATACATTGTGTTTTATATTATCTTTCATTCACATTGTGTTTCATACAATCATTTCCATTCGTTATGTTTTATAAAATGTTTCACCATTGAACTATGTCCATCATTACCTTGTACCTGTGGTTATTCTTGATGATGAAATTCTGTGTAATGTCATTTATCTCCTTTATATTTTTCCCAGAGTATTATTCCAGTCATTTTATATTCTGATAATTATAGGATATAAGGTTATTTTAAAGAATGTAGGAAAGAGAGATGCTACTTACTGTTAGTCTTTTTGGCCTGTTCCTGATTAGATTTTTACATGTTACTTCAGTGTACTGTTTGTTAGAGCCATACTGAGCTGTTTTATTTCCAAGTCATGTAAAGAGAAGTGAATTTTTTTCCAAGGTTATAAAAATAACCAGTTAGAAAATCATTATATCCTCTTGTTATTATCAGTATATAGTGCAAGCTTTCTTCAGACCATCTTGTCAATGTAAAATAATAATTTTGTATGTTAACAACAGACTTTGAAGCTTTTGAGATGCCCATTTTCAAAAAAAATGGAACTGCAGAAAAAAAAAAAAAAAAAACAACAAAAAAAAAAACCAGACTTTGAGTTAAAGATGCCGTAATCTCACTTATCTCATTTTCTAGGGCAAGTGATTTGGTAATGAAGGTGGATGCGCTCTTGTCTACTCAACCCAAAGGAGATGCAAGAATTGAGCACCAGTTCTTTGAAGATAAACATAGGTAAATTAGTTATGATTCATTTGTGCATGTTCTTTTTTTCTTTTAGTAACTCATTTTATTTCATCACTTCAGCCGTGTCTGCATGTACAGTGATTACAGTTTTTATACTGTGAAGCAATTCTCATTCTCCATTTAGTACTTGTTCCTCCCAATTAACATAAATTTACTGTGCCACCTCAGTTTCCTGCATGATCTTTGAAGCTGCTGTTATCTTTGATTCTATATAAATAGGTCTTAAATAGCATACTGTTATTTTATATTGATTTGCTCACAAAGTTCATATACATTGGGTTTCACACTATTCTTCAATCATCTTGTGTTTCATACAATCATTCCCATGCATTATGTTTTATAAAATCAGTCACCATTGGACCTTACCCATCATTACCAACTCTTTTCAAGTCCTTCCTGGATCCTTCCCATTTCCTTTATTTTCTCCCTCTTCCTCTCTTGAGCTGTTCCTCCACCCCTCCAAGCATAATGACCTTCTCCAAAGACTGATCCCTCCTGACAACATGCTCAAAGTATGTTACAAAGAGCTTTAAATATCCTTGCTTCCAAGGAGCACTCTGGTTTCACCCTCTCCAAGACAAACCTAATTGTTCTATTAATAGTCCATGGTATGTTTAATACTCTTCTCCAGCAGCACAACTCAGAGACATCGATTTGTCTTCTATCTTCCTTAGTCATTATCCAGCTCCGTGTTGTGTACTGTTTCAAAAATTCTTCATTGTCCATCAACAAACGAATGGCTAGAGAAGCTGTGGTATATTCGCACAATGGAATACTATGCTTCATTAAAAAACAAGGAACTCATGCAATATTACTCAAAATGGTTGACTCTGGAGAACATTATGCTGAGTGAAATGTCCCAGTCACAAAGGGACAAA